CGGTCTCGGCCGATATTTATATCTTTCACGCAAATTTACCACAATCCCTCTTTAAGCCGGCAACCTTTGTTTTAGAAGTATGGTTTACGGGATATGCTTATTTCATTGACTTTACAGTTCTCTGTTTGTAACCGCAAGAATGCGCAGAAGAAAAGTTTTTTTCAAATCCTTATTTTTGCAAACTTTTTTGGGTATAATGATAGCTGGAGAGTTAATATGCGCTTATTTCACAGAAATGTTCTGGAGCTTTTGTATGTACAAGAACATTTCGGGACGTTCTACAAGCAAACTTGTTAGACAGTTTAAATAAAAATTGGCCTTTATACACTATGAGATTTCTTCGTTTTATGAGCAAGTACTTACAAGAAATGCATGTTTAGTCCAGGTAGCCTTTTCAAAGGGACGTACGCCATATTGAAGGGCATAAATTGCCGATTCCAATCTTGTCTTCCTTATCGCGTCTATGGACGAGGAGTTATGAGCTCTTATTTCGCAAAAAAATTGAATGTGCAAGTAGGGCAAAAATAGCCGTAATACATTTTCTAGAGATGGAGCAATGATAATCAACAGAGCACTTTATTCAAAAAATGCTCTCAAATATAGCCGTCCTCACCACACTAGTCGGTCGGTGGACGAATTCGAATTCGAATTGGAGCAGGCAGGTCGCGGCAAAGCACGGCACCTTAGCTCTCCGTTCAAATTCACGCATTCACCTTTGCGTATTTCTTCGCCATTGCTTAGCAGTTTTTGTATTGTTACAAAGTTTTTAATCTAAATTGAGTTTTTGTAATTGCTGAGCGTTGTCTCCTGCCACGCTCTGCCGTGACAAGCCTGCTTCAATTCAAATTTGAATTCGTCCACCGACCGACTACTGGGGTGAGACCGACTATAAAAAACATCGTTCTTGGTTGCATTGTTTGACGGCTAGTAAGATTTCAGCGACTCATAATCCAAAATGCACGTTCAATTTTTGGCTTTAAAAACGCTCATAACTTCTCGTGCATAAGCGCTGATAAAAAAGGCAGATTTGGAGTCAGCGTTTTATGTCCTTCAATATGGTATACATGTCATTTAGAAAGGTCACTTCGACTAAATAAGCTTCCCTTGTTAGACCATTTGTCTAAACGAGTTTTAACATCTTTAACAAGAGGAAGATATTTGGTCAAAATGACGTTTTCATATTTGATGTACATTTTCGTATAAGCAAAAAATGCTGATTCCGAATCTGTTTTTGTTATCTGCAAAGCGCTTCTGGGAAGGAAGTTATGGGATTTTTTTGAGTGAGAAATTCAATGGTTTGGCCAGGGTAAAAACCAGTGTAATTGATTTTCCGACTCATGAAAAGAGCAATGGCTAGCATAAGCTATTTACGATTGAAGGTGTTAACTGCATAAATCGTCATGGCAGTAATCATGACCTAGTTTGAGCTCACAGACTGGAGTTCTGTATGATTTTACTGTTGCCGCGCGTTCAAATTCTTGCCTTGAAAGTTCCCATGATTTCTCTCCCAGAAGCGCTTTGCAGATATCGCAGGCAGATTAGGAATCAGCGTTCCATGCTTTATGAGATGGTGTACATTTCATACGAAACACCACTTCGATGGTTATCCTTCCCTTGCAAGGAACATGGCAGGAAACATGAGTTCTTTTTAAAGTGCCCACACAAAATTCTGCAGTTATAATTCAATTGCCTGCTATTAGGTTGTCAGGAAAATAATGTCCGTTTTTATTTGCTTGCTTTAACAAAGCAACCAGACTCAACCCAACAAAGGGTAAGGGATACTGTTCGATAGAGCAAAGCAAGCTCTACAAGATGGCGCTCATGCCTTTGCGCCAAGCTCGATCCACGGAGAATTCGAACTCAAAATCTAAAGATTTCCAAATGCCCAAAAAATCGAAAAAAATCAGATCCTCGTCCAGATAATTTCTGCGGACCTCCCACTCGCTCACATCAATACTATCGATATCTGATATCCATATGTGCGATTGCCGTATTTTTTCCTTGACTAGAAACTGAGAAAACGAAAATTTCCCTGATTTTCTCAAAGCAATGCTGAGCCGTTTCTGCAAGTGTAGTTCTATACTACAAGCCTAGGTAAGTATAACTGTAGATTTTCAGCCCATTCCAAGCGGTAGTTTTCGAAAAATAACGAATTCGGATTTTTTCGTTTCAGTTTCAATGCTAAAATCGACATTTCTCGAAAAGTACCGCTCGAAATAGGCTGAAAACCTACAGTTATGCTGACCTAGGCTTGTAGTATAGAACTACATATGCAAAAACGGCTCAGCATTGCTTTGAGAAAATCAGGGAAATTTTCGTTTTCTCAGTTTCTAGTCAAGGAAAAAATACGGCAAGCGCACATATGCATATCAGATATTGATAGTATTGATGTGAGCGAGTGGGAGGTCCGTAGAAATTATCTGGACGAGGATCTGATTTTTTTCGATTTTTTGGGCATTTGGAAATCTTTAGATTTTGAGTTCGAATTCTCCGTGGATCGAGCTTGGCGCAAAGGCATGAGCGCCATCTTGTAGAGCTTGCTTTGCTCTATCGAACAGTATCCCTTACCCTTTGTTGGGTTGAGTCTGGTTGCTTTGTTAAAGCAAGCAAATAAAAACGGACATTATTTTCTTGACAACCTAATAGGAAGACTGTCAAAGTATTTTTGAAAATATCTGGGAGCTTTTCTTACAACCTAAGAACACCAAAAAAACCATTTCCAGTTGTCACCAACTTGATATTCAGGACCAAGCCTTTTTTTAGCTGCCATTTCGGACCACAGCATATATCGCAATATCAGGTTTGCTAATATGTTCTGACAATGATGAGTTCTATGGCCCAAATTATTAATCTTTAAAGAGTTAATCGCAAGAGATATAAAGTGCGATTCATAATTATACGAACACCCAAAATTTTGTAAGTTTTCGGACTTTTTGGGAGAAACTCAAAAAGTCGTTGGTACCAGGCGATAGAACACAGCCAAAAACAGTATATGATCGGTAAAAATGGAAATTGATGTCAATCTTAGGTGTGTTTTGGCGCCTAATGCGAATTTTTAGCGGTTCATAATTATACGAGCACCTCAAACAAAGGTTCATTTTTCATTCAAAATTGCAATCATTTGAGTCCAAAATTTTTTTTGTAGAGCTACAGTAACAAAGTCTGACATATATGCTACACACTGAACCCAGTGCAGTTCAAAAAGAGGACCGTCACTTATTTCAGAAGGCTCTAAATGCTTTTGGAGTGATTACGCTTCAAAAACCCATTCTTCTGCGGTTTACGCGCTCTAATTAGCTTCTACCAAAGCTATGAGATAAAATAAGCTCTTTCGACAGGTATTTTGTTTGACGCCTGAAAAACTTTACGTTTTCGTGCCGCTTTTCAACCAAGTTCCAACCTTACCACATAGTTGTCGCGATTTCGAGCCTCAAAACTCATCTTCTCTCTTGCGCAAAACTTTGATATGAAGCAGCTGCATTGTTTGCATGATGATGTTTCTGTACCAAAGTTTTTAGGTTTTTGTAGAACTGATCTTGATTCTGTGGAGCTACAAACCAAATAAAGGTGTGATCGCAATAGTAAAAACAGTGTTTTTGGTGAAATGACGTCTGCGTGGCCAAAACAAACGCTCAACGCTGCTGATTTTTTCTCGCCGAATATGCATTTTGGTGAACTTCTACATACTATATGCTTACTTCATTGTACGGCTTCAGAAGCTGAGTTTTGAGGCTCGAAATCGTGCTAACTCTAGGGTAAGGTTGGAACTTGGTTGAAAAACGTCACGAAAACGCAAAGATTTTACAAGCGTCAAACAAAATACCTATCAAACGAGCTTATTTTATCTCATAGCTTTGGTAGAAGCTAATTAGAGCACGTAAACCGCAGAAGAACGGATGTTTTTGGAGCGCAATCACTCCAAATGCATTTAAAGCCTTCCGAAAAAAGTAACGGTACCCTTTTTGAACTGCACTGGGTTCAGTGTGTAGCAGATATGTCAGACTTTGTTACGGTAACTCTACAAAAAAATCGGACTCAAATGATTGCAATCGTGAATGAAAAATGGACCTTTGTTTGAGGTGTTCATATAATTATGAACCGCTAAAAATTCGCATTAGGCGCAAAAACACACCTAAGATTAACATCAATTTCCATTTTTACCGATCATATACCGTTTTTGGCTGTGTTCTATCGCCTGGTACCAACGGCTTTTGAGTTCCTCCCAAAAAGTCCAAAAACTTACAAAATTTTGGGTGTTCGTATAATTATGAACCGCACTTTACACAAAAGTTTGTTCACTTCAATCAAAACTTTCATAACTAGCAAAATCGAAAATTTCCAAAGGCATACTCCACCGGAGGATTCCGCAGTGGTGGACACATCCACCGCTGGTGCTTACGCACTTAAAGGCAGTACATCGGCAGAATGAGACCCTTGACAAAACAAGTCACAGGATATCCCCTTATGGAACCTATCGGCCAAAGTCCGATCTTTCTCTGCAACTTCTAACCCCTAAAATTTCAACGCGGAAGCAGCGCTCATCTCCTGTATTCACCATGGGATGGGATGGGCGTGGCCGGAGAATATAGGAGATGAGCGCTGCTTCCGCGTTGAAATTTCGGGGGGTTAGAAGTGGCAGAGAAAGATCGGACTTTGCCCGATAGGTTCCACATGAGGGCTCCTACCCTGTGACCTTGTTTTGTCACGGGTCTCATTCTGCCGATGTACTGTTTAACGACGAATTACGAAGAGTCGTTGTTGTGCCTAATTGCGCAGCGACCGGAGTTGCGCGAGGTATGCCTTGAGCCTTATGTTTGTGAATAAGCAATAATCTGCTTCCGCACTACGCAAGATTGTCTCTAACTGTGATCGTTGCACATTTGCACCATTGCGCTTTGAAGCAGTAATTCATAGGTGTTTTGGCACATAGTTTTTTGACTATCAAGAAAAGCATCCTCTACTCTAACCATTGAACTTCCTTATTGATATGAAAATCATACCAGCACACAGCGTTCTTGACCTTCTTCATCATTCGGATCTTTCGGAGACCATGCTAGAAAATCAACCTTCGTGCCATCAGTCCATATCCACTCAGCTTTCCGGCTACTGTTCAGATAATCAGCTCGTGCCAGACCTATCCAGGTTGCGTGTGAGTAATCACTGATTGGAAATCCAGACTTTGCCAGCTCTGAATTGAAACAGATTCCTCCACTTGAATAAAACAAAATAGATTCACCAGCCACAAATAAATTTTCTTCAAAGCTGTGAATCGAAGTCAAATGTCCTTCGAAATTCTTACATTTGCTTTCGGCGTCGAGAAAGGTTTCCCAAAAAAAGTTCTGTAACATCATTATTTTATATACAAAGCTAAGTATGATTGAGCCGTTCAATAATTTACTATCTAGATCTGGGTGTTATATTAGGTTGGTCTGAAAGTTCGGTCTTCAAAAAATCATAACTTCCTTCTTGCATGATGTTTTTGCATGGCTACAAACTTTTTGAAAGGAGCAATTCATGCGCTTTCTGGAAACATCTTGAGCGCTAACTAATAAGCTTCGAATGCAGAGATAAAATTGGGGAAAGGAAAACAATTCAAGGGCGGAATTTTTTGAGCAAGCCCGCTAAAAAATCTAAATCTGTGCCATAAAATTCACAACAGTCATTATCCTAGACTTTTTGAACCACTCTTTCTAGCTGAGTGAAATTTTTGCTGGTCGAGCTGTTATTTTGAAAGTTATGATTTTTTAAAGAAAATGTCAAAAAAATCAATTTTTTTAAGAAACTGATTTTTTGGCATTTTTTTCTTGAAAATCATGACTTTTCTGGGAAGAACTCCATCAGCGCGAACTTTGCTCATGTAGAAAGAGGGGATCAGACAATCTAGGTTAACGGCTGTTTTGGATTTTTATGGCAAAGTTTTAGATTTTTTAAGGGGCTTGCTTAAAAAGTCCAAACTTGGGGTGATTTCTTTTTCCCAATTTCATCTCTGCATTTATAGCCTATTAGATAGCAGCCAAGATGTTTCTAGAAAGCGCATAAATTGCTATTTTCAACAACCTTTAGCCATGCAAAAACATCATGCTAGAAGGAAGTTACGATTTTTTTGAAAATGGTGGTACAGAACTTTCGGACCAACCTAATAATTACGAGTGTGAGAGGAGCTCAGCACTCTAGTGGCGAGTTTGTCCCTTTACTCTCGTCATTATCTCTTCATTTCTAACCATGGAAGATTCGCGAAAATGTATAGCGGAACTGGTCAGTATATGCTTAAAGACAGTAGGTCGGCAGAATGAGACCCGTGGCAAAACAAGGTCACAGGGTAGGAGTCCCCATAATGGAACCTATGGGCCAAAGTTAGATCTTTCTCTGCCACTTCTAACCCCCGAAATTTCAAAGCGAAAGCAGCGCTCATCTCCTGTTTTCTCCGAACCCGCCCACCCCATAAACGAGTGAACGTGAAGCCCGTCATGGCGAAGACGCAGAGTCGTTGCGGGACCTCATGCTTATAGCATCGCGGCTGGCGCTCTGACCTCGGAAGTCACTCGTCCATGGGGTGGGCGGGTTCGGAGAGGACAGGAGATGAGCGCTGCTTTCGCTTTGAAATTTCGGGGGTTAGAAGTGCAATATGCAAACGTGCAATATTCTAACAAGTAAAGCCCCTAACTCGCAATGCTGCGCAATTTTTGCGGCGTGGAGTCATGTATTTGCCCCAGTCCCCCACCCTTCTACTTTGCTTTTGTACCACCTAACAACGGGAAAATTACGAGGCAAAAAATTTAGATTTGTCCCTAACGCCCTACATCCAGTGGGTATAGGGTCATAAATGCGATTTTTTTCAAAATTACTGACTGGTTTTTCTTTAACGATTTTTGCAAGCTATAAGCTAGGACGCTGGAAAGTTGTACACGGAGAAGGCGTATATGAGCATGTTGGTTACGAAAGCGAAATAATTTTGAGGTACTGCTTTCCTCTATCGGAACCTCATTGAAGTGCTGGGTGTTCGCATAGGGTTGAGTAAGGATGCTGATTTTGAGCACAAGGAAATGTACCTACAAGGAAATGTAGTTAAAATTGAAAAAGAATTGTGACATATTTTATGCAACGTCGGCAAGGATCTAGCGAAGCCGGTTATTTTCAGCCAGCGAGGAAAAATTCAGCAAGTTCTCAGATAATCACCGGGGCAGGCTGCCATGCTATTTATAGACAGGCAGCTACGGGGAAAATAGTTCGCTGATTTCTTGCGGTCTCAATTCGGAAGAATGTTCGGCACTTTTTACGAAAGCTCAGAGAACAATCTTTGCTTTTCAATAAATTAACTGCGGCGCAGTGGCGCGAAAGTATGCAGAATTGTTGAGGGCTGCACGGTCCTTTGTAAGAACCGCACAGCCCGGAGGTATCTTCCGATGAGAGAAAGTACCCAAGCAGGGCCCGGCACGCGTTGGTTCGGAGCATTTCTGGAAACAAAGTCTACGATGACTTCGCGAAAATTTACGAAGTCCCTTTTGAAGCGAAAGTCAGTAGGGAAATTTTTATTCAGTTAACATAACAACAAAAAAACCTGAAAAAGCGACAACATTTTGAGGTGTAACAAATCTGTGGCTTCAGCAATCTAGCAGCATTTTTCGCCACATAGTTCAAAGGAAATTTGATTGAAGCGCGTTATCTATCAAAGCGTAGGTTAACACAATTTTTGGCTCAAAAAAGGGAGAGGCAATGGTTTGATTGTCCTCGCTATATGACAAAAATTTTTGGGCGTTATAATCGTCCAAAACAAAAAAATTCAAAACTTATGTGAATCCGATATTTATGCTCCGAACCAATCCTGTTGGTTTGGTGTTGAACAAGAAGCAAAAACAATACCTTTCCTGAACAAGAAATTTAGGAAAGGTATTAGGACACATAAGTTCTGCAAATTTATTCAACTGACTTTTCAGCTAGTATATCCATTCCACAAACACTCCTGCCCATCTCGTTGGAGCTCTTTTTCTCCAGGGGGGGGGGGGCTTGCTTCGCGAGAAATCTCTACTGTTCTTAGTGTCCATCTGTCATTTGTTCTTCCCCCGGCCCATCGATGCATCGCTAACAACATATTCCGTTGGGTCACGAAGACGTGACATTCTTTTCATATATGCACTTCGCAATCCGCCAGGATGTGTACCATTTGATTCGAATTTCTTGGCTTCGGGAAGGTGGGGCTTCGTGACCTAATTAAGGCTAGGTGATAATCAGAGAGCACTCCCGCGAGAGAGACGCAGGCGTCGCGGGCGCGAGCGGCCTTAATCCTGTCATAAAGCCCCGCCTTTTCGAAGCCAAGCCAGTTGAATCAAAGGTTAGTTCGCGTCCGGTCATCTAGAAGACTGCGCTCAAGTGCTCTGTGGATTATTTGCAGAGCTGTCGACGTGGCTATAGTGTCGGACGTCTCAACTGCGTAACAGAGCCGGGAGAACGGTTGAGTTGAGCAGGTGGACGCGAAGCTCCGAGTCCGTCAGTCAATCAGTGGCTTTTTTCGGAGGCATGAAAGCTGCTAAAACTGCTCCTCTTTTCTTACTGAGTGCTCCCACAAGTCGTTCTCCATGCATATCAAACGTCCAAGTTACACGCAAGGCGTTTCCATGATAGGAATGCCCTTCAATTTTTTTCCGTATCTTCGCAAAAGACGTTCTGCATGAACTAAGTCTTCTTCCGACTTATTCATAATCGATCATCTTTCCCTATTTCATTTAGTTCATTCAGCATCGTCTCTGCTTCAGTGATACTGCTCAAAAAGAACGATCTCGCTTGGAAATGAAGATTCGACAGGAATCTCCCGTCAACTCGTATGCCTCTCTCGTCCCAGTCGAGAAACTTCATCACCCACTGCAAGGCCGCGGTGACCAGCTGCTTCTTCGGGATTGTGTCGCCTTGTTGGACCCCCTTTTCAATTGGGATGGTCAGGGGGCAGTTTAATAGCTGCGTCGTCGTTGTACAGTCCTTGTAGCAGTCGGCTAACGTCCTTACGTAAGCTGGGTCCACTTCATGATCGACTAGCGCTAACAAGATTGCGTTGGTTTTCAACATTGTCAAATTCTTTCTCGTTGTCGACGAAGAATAGGACAAAAGGCTGACAATAGGACAACTCCCGGCAAACTTGTGTAATTCTTGAAACCGTCTATTTCGGTCCACGCAGCTAAATCTTATGCGAAATTAAGCCTGTTCTTGGGGCTAGACTTCATCCATGTCCTGAATATGCGAGAGAGATTAATTTTCATAAGAAGCTCATAGGGCACACTCAGCAGACGTAATGGAAGTGGTTCCAAAAACTCTCCCGTTCGTCTGAAGAAACGGATGTTATTTCCGGTGGGAATCTTTTACTCGAGTAGAAATGTTAGATGCGACGCGAAAACCTCGTGTAGACGTCGTCTTCCGTTTCGCAGCAGAAGCTTGACGGAAAGATGATTTGGGTCCTGCGTGGACGTCTTCATGGACTGAATAGCGGTGCGTACTTCAATCAGGTAGAATCCGTGGTGGTACTTATTCAACGGAGACAATGGTCATCGGCATGGGTGCTGATGACTGAAAGAGCTGTAAAAGTTCTTTGCGATAGATCTCTTTCTTGTACCGGGAACAAGTCGGACTTCCGTCTTAGTTCAATAGTGCAGCTGACGGTACGTGATATTTACGGAAATCCCTTCGAGACTTCTTAACACTTAGGGCCGCATGCATTGACATCCCCGCAAGAGAGGGATCGCAGCTTAGAAAGAAAGCTTCATGTCCTAAAGCTGCAAATATTTGGAATTTACGCTGTCTGCTTATCCGTAAGTATTTCCACCATCTTTCACTATAAACATATTAAGCAGGAGCGAGAAACTGTACAAGCCGCATTTTCTAGCATTTTGTATGATCCTCTGATGATCCCTGGCTGCTGACCGTCTTTTTTCGAAGTCAATTTTTTTCCTTCAAAGCTAGCGAAACCTTCCAAGGTTGTGCTGAATCTAGTCCAACAGTGCTAAACATGTTGCTGATAAGACAGATGAGTTTTTGAAAAATCGAAATTTTGGTAAACCCCAACATTCGAGTTGTGGTTCATCGCAAATTTCGAGACTCCAATACATCATTTGTTCTTATCAGCAACATGCTTAGCACTGTTGGGCTAAATGAACAGTACAACTTTGGAACGTTTTCGTTAACTTTGAAGAAATGACGTTGAAGAAAAGACGGTCAGCAGCCAGGGATCATCAGGGGATCATACAAAATGCTAGAAAATACGACTTGTACAGATTCTCGCTCTCGTTCGATGTGTTCATAGTGAAGGATGGTCGAAATACTTAAGGATGGTTAAAAAGCTTGGAATTCAGAAGTT